CAGAACCTACTATATACGCTGCATTAGTCTGAAGCATGTTGGAAAAGTGATGCTGGATATCAAATTCCAAGATGGAGGAGCGCAATGCAAAACTGCAAACACCACCCGCAACCCCCCTAAGCAAGGTCAACGAGAACTTACACCCAGCCTCCTAATCAAGCTAGATTGCCCTGAAGCATGTCCGGGCATTGATGCCAAAAACCATGTTGAAGATGAAAGGTAGCGATTCGAAACCGCACAGACCTCTGCCCACCTACTGGGGCAAAAACGAACTCCACTCGTCGAGACGCCTTCGCTTGGTATGTCGTCGGCTATTGAAGCTGACGATCCTCATTGCTGCCTCAGTTATCAAAGGTTCAATGAAAGTTAATCTGAAAAATAAACGAGCGTTCGCTGAACAGCGCGTTTACGTTGGAATGTATCGAGCCTGAAAAGTGATGCCAGAAATCGAATTCCAAGACGGAGGGGCGGGACACAAAACCAGATACACCACGCTCAAATATCTTAAGCAAGGTCACTGCAAACTCTGGTGAAGCCCCCTAATTCAGGTGCGGTCGTCTGAATCGTGCCCGAACATTCATGACGAAGCCCGCCCGTTGAGACGCATTTCAACAGCACACAACGCAGCATTTCCCCTAGCCTTTTCCTTCAGTTTCAGACCACCGTTGCGTCGCCTCCTGGGCACATCTGACTCACTGGTTTGGGTTGATAAAGATCGTGTTGAACCTGCCACTGACGCTGCTGGAATGTGACAAGACGTACAGAAGTGTGAAAACAGTGCAGCTTTGCGAGCCTGCCTTTCTGCGTCATCTGCTCTATGCCATTCCTTGCGAGAATACACAAGGTTCCGATTGAAAGTCACAGCATGGAAAGGGCTTGAAGAGGATGGTGGAGGGCCCCTTGCGAATCAAGGCTTGGGATCTATTAACAAGTGACGGTGTATTGCACAAATGATCTGACGGATCTGTTTGTATAGCTCTGATAGCTAGCCGCCGAGGCGCTCTACCAATGCTGGCGCAAAACCAATGGACTTCTATGGGACATAGGCTCCGCGTCGACTGTTAAAAAACTACAGAGATGGCCCAAGGATGGCATATGGGCGCAACCTACCACAATTACAAAACGATATGGGCGCAACCTACCACAATTACAAAACGAGCGTCGTCTCGCTATACTGTTGTTTCCAGATAGGATCTACAGGTGTGCTTTTCACATATGCAGCGCGAGTGGGTAACCACTCGTGAATGGCAAGGTATTTGCAGTTTGCTCCTCATGAAGGTACTTGAGAGTCTCGTGCTACAGCCGCACCTGGGATTCGTTATGACGATCTTCGAGAAGTGCATTAGGCGGCTGAGCTCAGCAGCTCCAGCAGAACATATCGTTTGCTTCGCAATTTGAAGGTAAATAATCCAAAAGCCATTCAACATTTGGTCTGCAGCGCATTTTCAAGGTATGGGATTCAAAAGACATTAGAAGTATGCTCTCACACAGCATTATCGGTTGTGCGTGAGCTCCAGCAGCTCTTCTTGAGGTGGATGTTGAAGCACCATTATCACCTCTCCTTGTCTCCTTGCCCTTTCTATCCTCTTCTCTGTCTCCTTGTCTCCTCTGTCTCTCCTGTCCCTTCTGTCTGCTTCTCTCTACTGTCTTTCTCTTGTCCCTGTCTCCTCTGTGTCCACCCTAAGGCGTTCTTAGGCCACTGAGTGTAATTAAACTCTTGTGCTACAAATTGATGCTTGTTTTGGGGCCGCTGGATGCCGAGTAGATAAACAAACAGCACCAGCAGTAGCACAGGCACCGACCAATACAGAATCCAATTGATTCTTGTATCGGCCTTCTTATAGCCCCAAACATTCAGGGCCCGCAGACGAAGTCTGTCTTTTTAGCCCCTTGGCTGAAGCAAACCACTGGCTGCTTGCGTGGAGTTTAAGTGTACGTACACCAGGACACCGACGTGCCAACATTTTGCGCGCTTCCTGCGCAGGCCTCAGACTACTTGGTATCTCCTCTCATGCATGCATGCAAGCAGCCAATCCTTCCTTGTCTCCTCGTCTTCCATTTGTCAGCTATTAGTTTTTTGCCCTGCCGCGCACGGCGCTTAACTTTATTTTCCTTTCAAACGGATAGGCGTCCCATGCGAGCCACCCACGTAACTAGCTCGCTAGCTAGCTAGAAAGCTAGCCAACTGGCTAGCTGGCTAGCTACCCAGGTAGCTAGTGGACTGGCGCAATACACAGGGGCCCAGGTACCTAGCAAGCTACAGCACTAGCCACCAACACAGCGATGCGCCCTGCTAGCTAACCAGTTCTTCAAGTGGAACACACTAGCGGCGTTGCTAACTACCAACCTATCCAGCTAACTAGCTAGCCAGTTAGCTAGCTAGGCGCCCATTTCATGTAGCTGCGTAATCTGGAAACTGGTTGCTTGGCTATCTAGCCACGTGGGCATACGGTATGCTTGCTGCCTCCACTGCTGTTTTTCTCCGTGCGGCCAGCAGCGAGTGTTTGCAGTTACGATGCGCCTCTGCAGCTGCAACAGAGACAGTTAAAAGGCCGGAGACCAGTGTGCAGAGTGACGCCGAGGCCTACACATGCATCCACGTGCGTGCATTGGTGCATCCAGATGCATGTATTAAGAGGAACTTACCCGCTTGTGGTTGTCTCTTTTGTAGGGGAAAGGAAGAGGCAGGGGGAAGGAAAACGCAGAAGGGGACAGGAGGAGACAGCATGAGACAGAAGCAGACAGGAGACAGCAGGCGACATGAATTCACAGCAAAAGACAAAAGGAGACAGAGGAACACACGAGGAGACAAAGGGATACATGAAGACATCGAGAGGCAGGAGACAGTCTTCAGACGCAGGAGACAGTCCCCGCACGTGTTGCTGCAACAGGGCCAGCATAAAAGTTGTTGCTATATCGGCCCTTTATAGAGGCCAAAATACAAACACCCTGCTGCAACTGCATGCACTAGATGGTGCATGCAAAGAGCAGCAGCAGCTGCTGGTGCTACAGCATCACCAGCTGCTGATACTATTACTACTACTACTGCTGCTGTTGCTGCTGCTGGTGCTACAGCGCTGCTACTGTTGCTGATGCTGCAACATCACCAGTTGTCGTTACTACTACTGCTGCTGCTGCTGCAGCACCAACAGCTGTTGTCAATGCTGCTGCTGCTACAGCATCACCAGCTGTTGTTGCTGCCATTGCTGTCGTCGTTGCTGCGGCTATAGCATCTGCAGCTGATACTACTCCTGTTCATGCTGCTGCTGCTACGGAAGCCGCCCGCTGTTGCTGCTGATGCTGCTGCTGCTGCTGCTACTGCTGCTGCTGCTGCTGCTGCTGCTCGCCTTCTGCCGCTCGCATGCGTCTGCTCTTGAGGGCCATGAGGGCGCGGAGCGTTTTAAGGGTCTCCTTATGGTGCCAACCTGCAGCACTCTCTACATGACACTGTCTTTCCATTTCAGCAGCAGCAGCAGTAACATCCAGCAACACCCGCAGCAAGAGCCACGAAAGCAGCAGCACTTAATCGGGCAGCAGCAGTAGGGACTCCGGAAGCCGCAGCAGCATCAGAAGCAACGGCAGCGATGCCCAGCGCAGCAGTAACACGGCTTGCAGCAACAGGAGCAGAAATCCAAGCAGCAGCCTCAGCAGCAGCAACAGCAGCAGCAGCAGCACCTGTCTCGTTGCTGAATGTTGGCAGCACAGGGGCCTCCTGAAGTAGCTGACAAATATCGGGGTCCTGGATAGCGCAAAGTTGATACACCTGAGAGGGGCGTGAAGGAGGGACAAGGAATGCATCCTCTGCATGCAAGGAGACAGCAAACATATAACACACCACATCACTCCTGCTGCTGCTGCTGCTGTTGCTGCTGCTGCTGCTGTTGCTGCTGCTGCTGCCGTTGCTGCTGTTGCTGCTGCACTACAGTTGTAAGTGCTGCAGAGACTGCTGATATTGCTGCTGCTACTCCTGTCTTGGTCGCTGGCGCTGCTGGCATCCATGGGCTAGCAGGAAAAAGCTGAGGTGTCTCTGCAGCTTGACAGCAGCAGACGTGTTTCCTGAAGAACTTAAAATAACATATATGCTGCATGCAGGAGACAAGAGACAAACACACCTCGCTGTTGCTGCCTCGAACCAGGGGCGGGAACCCCTGCTGCAGCAGCCGCCTTCCAATTCGTGGCCCGAAAGAATGGATCCCTGAAGTCGATGGTCTGCGCAACCATACAAACTCTAAACCCTAAACCCTACACCCCAAACCCTAAACCCTAAACCCCAAGCTCCAAAGTTTCCCTTCTGACGGACCAATCCTTGTGCGCTGGTGCCTAGGCCGGAGACACCCCTCCAGGAGGTTGACAGCCTGGAGTTTCGGGTTTTCGGCTTTGGGTTTAGACTGTGGTAATGAGCTTTGCGGCCTGAAGTTTAGAGCCGAGGAATAAGGTCTGGCATGAAAGCTTAAGTGTGCAACCCAAGAAAATAAACCCTAGGACTTCACGGTAGCGGTTTAGGGTTTAAGAGTTTATGGTTCAGGGTTTGTACGACTAAGATTAGGGTTTAACGCACCTGGTAGTTGCGGCTCTCAGGGTCTTTTCGGGGGTCATAGCCAAGGCGGCAGAGACAGCCGCGGAAGGGCCCATCTAGGAGACACAGGAGACACACACACACACACACACACACACACACACACACACGCAGCGCTGCTGCTGCTGTTGCTATTGCTGCTGGTGATACTGCTGTCGCCGTTGCTGCCGTTGCTGCTGCTGCAGTTGTTGCAGCTGGCGGGCTCGTCAGCCAGCAAGTACAGCAGCGACAAGAGCAGCAACAGCACCAGTAACAGAGAAGCAACAACACGAGAAGCAGCAACACTAGCAGCAACACAAGCAGCAACAGCGAGAGCATCAGCAGAGAGCGCTCCAGCAGCCCAAGCAGCACTAGCCCAAGCAGCAGCAGCAGCAACAGCAGCAACAGCAGCAGTAGCACCTGCGAAGAGGAAGCAAGTCTTGGCATAGGCAGGTTTCTTTCTCCAAGCGGTGTATGAACGAGGGAGCTGAGCATCGAGCGAAGGCCGCAGCCACACGGGCTGTCTCTGCAGCAGTTGCTGCAGCGCTAGCAGCAAATCAGCATCTGCAGCAGCAGCAGCAAAAGCAACCAATGTGTACACCGTGTAGCAGCAGAAATAACATTTGCTCCTGCTGTGCCAACATTCGGTGCCAACACACCCCAGACACGCACCCGCGCGCTGCAGGTGCAGCAGCAGCACCATCAACCGCTGCAGTAGCTCCAGCAGCAGAAGCAGCAGCCGTAGCCGAAGCACCAGCAGCGACAGTATTAGGGACAGTGGCAGAAGTGCAAGTGGCAACCGCAAGAACGCCCCCACCAGAGGCAGTAGCAACAGAAACAGCCACAGCAGCAGCAGCAGCAGCAGCAGTGTAAGGTAGACACCTGCAAATGCCTTCGATGCTGCAGGCGGCGGAGCAACGGGCAGCTGCTCATCGCCTATGCGGCCGACGGCGTTGAAAGCAGAGCTTTCCTCCTTGCTGCTGCTGCTGCTGCTACTGCTGCTTCCCGTCGCTGTTGTTGGTGTGGGGCTGGCAACAGCAGCAGCATCTGCTGTTTCATCATTTGTTGGTTCTGAGAGGCTCTGAGTTGCTGCTTCCGTCGCGCCCTTTTCTGCAACTGCAGCGGCAGCTGTGGCAGCAGCAGCTGTTGCAGCGGAAGCAGCAGCAGTAGCAACAGCGGCTGCTGCTGCTGCTGCATCTTCCTCCTCTCTAGTACGATCTCGAGCGCACGCTTCCACATCACAAGCATCACTAGCAGCAGCAGCAGTAGCTGCTGCTGCTTGTGTTTCTGTTGCTGCTGCTGTTGCTGCTGGGGCTTGTTTCTCCTGCGATGTGCTGTCTGCTCCGTTTGCCGCTGTTGTTCTCGTTGTTGCTGCCGTTGTTGTTGCTGCTGCTGCTGGTGCTGCTGCTGGTGCTGCTGCTGGTGCTCCTGCTGCTGTTGCCAGGGAAGGAAAGAAGCGTGGAGCTCTATGCGTCTTTGCTGCAGCAGCCCGTGCTGTTGCTGCCTTCGCAGCAACTGAAAGGCCAACGCTGTCTCCTTCAGTGAAGGATGCTGCTGCCTTTTCTGCTTCTACTGCTGCTGCTGGCGCTGCTGCCGCTTCAGCTTCTGCTGCTGCAGCTGCTCCAGCAGATTCTGCTGCATCTACTCCATCAGGTGGTGCTTTGTCTGTGCTGCTGCCGCCGTGCCTCAGACCTCCATCCAACTGGGTGACGGGGTGCTGCTGTAGTTGTTTCTGCTGCTTCTCCTCCTGCTGCTGCTGCTGCTCCTGTTGCTTCTCCACGAGCTCGCGGTCGTGGTGCTGTTCGTCTTGCTGCTGCTGTTGCTCTTGCTGCTTCTGCTGCTCTTGCTGTTGCTGCTGTAGGCGCTGGCGCTTGTGCTGCTGCTGCTGCTGCTGCTGCGCCGAGCCAGCTGAGAGGGCCTCTGCAGCGAATGCCGGGAGCGAAGGGGCCTCAATTTTGTATGGGAATGGGGCCTGTCCCTTTAAGAAGAAGGGAGGGGGGATGTAAGGGCACCCGTCACTGCTGCTGGTGCTGCTGCTGCCGCTGCATGCACGCTGCGCTTCAGCAACAACCTGCGCCTCCAGGGTCTCCTCACCGCGGTGCCCGGGGGGAGGGACGAAGTAAAAGTCCGCAAGGCCTGAAGGCGATGCAGCAGCACAAACAGCAGCAGCACAAGCAGCAGTAGCAATACCAACAGCAGCGGCAACAGCAGCAGCGGTAGCAGCCAGGGCTTCAGCTGTCCCCCCTGCAACACACTGCCGACCTGCTGCAACACCAGTGAACTGGAATACGCACACACACCACTAGGGGCAGCAACAGCATCACTAAGAGCAGAAGCAACACTAGCAACAGCAACGGCAGCAAAAGCAGCAGCAGCAGCAGCAGCAGCAGTGTGTACCTGTAAAGACGTGGCGCTGCATGACTCGCCCCAAAGGAACAAACTCAACGGCCCCAGACCTGCGGACTCTTCTCCTTAAGAGGATGCCGGCCGCGCTTTGGCGGGAGGATAGTATGTGTCCCCATCTACTGCTGCTGCTGCTGCCGCTGCTGCTGCTGCACCCTAGACGCAGCACCAGTGGATCCCCCCCATCTTCTAATGCCAAGCTCCTAGAGGCCACATCAGGGCCCCCTAAAATGCGCAGCACCGTCGTGCTGCAGCAAAGCAACAAACAAACAGCAGCGGCAGGGGCTTCCCATAGCAGCAACGGCGGCAACAGCAAGAGTAGCAGCAGCAGTAGTAACAACAGCAACAGCAGCCGCAGCAGCAGCATGGACTCACGGCTTTCTTGCTCTCCCAGGTATCTCCACTGCAGTAAAGGAGACGTTTGGTATGTCCATCAGCTGCGCTGTGTGTGTTCGGGGGCCCCCCTGGGGGCCCCCCGTCTCAGTTGTCTCCTCTGTCTCCTTGGGGCTATTGGGGCCCACAGCCCCCACCCTGTGGGTTTGAGGGGCCTCTTCGAGAGTCTGCATCCGGGGACTGGGTGCCTCATGCATCTGTCCCCTGGGGTCTCCCACCGCAGCAACACATCAGGGGGACCCCTGCGGCCAAAGGGTCTTCAGAAGACAGAATGGGTATCGTTAGGCTGATTGAGGGGTCCTCTACTCCTCAGGGGCCCCCAAGTTCGCTGTGGTAGGGGCCCCGTAACTAGGGGGGCCCCGGGGGCCCCCCAAGGAGAGGGTACAGAAGGTACAGCAGAGGCACAGGGGCCCCTTAGAAAAAGAGGCCGCGAACAGTAAACAAAGAAGGAAAATAAACAAAGTTAAATGCAGTCATCAAACAACAACAGTAGCGATCAGCCAGAATCTAAGGGTATGGGGGCCCCCAGGTGATGGGGGCCCACTGGACCCCCCTTCTGAGGTCTGCCGTCCTGTGAAGTCGTCAGCTACTGCTGTGGCTACTGGCGCTCATCCATCGTCTGTTTTGTTACTTCTCTAGGATTTAGGGCCTTTGTTATTTCCGCTTTTCTTTGCCGTACACTGCCTAAACAATGTAGGGTTTAGCGAAGCTGCTGCTCGTGACGCTCATTCTGGCCTTAATCAAGGACAGAAGCGAGCTGCAATGTAGGCAAAGACTTAAAGTAATAGTTCCCCAAAGGCAGAAGACCTCCTCAGGCTTCCTGAGCATTGAGCTCACGGCCTGGGTGTTGCGGGGAAGAGGCCGCCTGAAATGGGTTTGCAGCGCACCTCGCTGCGGCTGGTAGTAGAAGCCAGCCTCACGCGTGCACACAAGGAATCTTCGCTGAAGCTTCCTTGTGCGCACGAGACAACAAATAAGAAGTCCGTGTCAGCAGGCTGTAGTGCCGTTGTTCATCTCGCGCCCTCGCTAGCCACAGCTAGCTGCGGGTAGCTGCTGCCAGCTGTGCCTAGCTGTGGCTTGTTACAACTACCACAGCTAGTCTTCTTCGAGGCCTTGAGTGCTGGAACTACAGCAGTCCCGCCCTCTGCTTCAGCGTGATGCGGTGTATGTACACCGCACGCTTATCTGTACAGGAATGGCTTTAGCCACACCGATGTTGAGGGAGAATCAAATAGATAAATACACATATATATTTATGTAATCACAGAAGGCAGTGGCAAGTTTATGGGCATTTGCCTCTTGTGGGCACAACAGCATCAGCGGCGCTGCAACTGCTGTATCTGCTGCCGTGAATGCAGCTGCTCCTGCAGCTGCCGTCGCAGTTGGTGCCGCTGCTGCTCCTGCTGTTGCTGCTGCTGCTGGTCTTGGGCCTACAGCGGCATCTCCGCTACACCCGAGACTCTACTTAACTCGTCTGAGATCCAAACGCGAAGGCCCCAGTGTACTGGTAGGCCTCCGGGCAGTGGGTGGTTGCTCAACCGAGAGCCAAACGCGAGGGTCCCAGTGGACTGGCAGGCCTCTGGGCAGTGGGTGGTTGCTGTGTGTTACTGAGGTGGGGTTACTGTGTGCTACTGGGGTAGGGTTGTTTCTTGCTGCTCCTGCAAGAGGTCTGTGAGCTCCCGCAGAGTGGCGTCGAGGTCCCTCGTGTCCCCCTCTGTCTCTTCTGGGAATAGCTGGGGTGCCTTAGAAATCAACTGCTGTGGCTGCACCTGTTGCTGCAGCAACTGCTGCACCATCAGCCGTGCTCCCTCGACCTCCTGCAGCAGCGTGAAGCAAGGAGACACGCAGGCATCCGGTAGAGACAAAACCCCACACGGTGCTGCTGCTGTTGACAGCTGCGGCTCGTTGCTGCTGCCCGTCTTAGCTCCTGCTCGCAGTAGAAGCAGCTCAGGGTCTTCTTCCTGATCCTTAGCACCTCCGACTTCTACTGCCCCTCCTGCTGGTGCTGCTCGTGCTTCGTCTGCTGCGGCACCTTCAGATACAGCTGCATCGTCGCTGTCACTCACTGCAGCACCAGCCCTTGCTGCTGCAGCTGCATCTGACTGTTCTTGCAGTTCCTCTTGCTGCTGTTGCTGCTGCTGCTGCTGCTGCTGTGACGGTGCGACAGGTAGTGGCAGCGGCACAACTGGAGCAGCAGCAGCTGCGGCTGCTGCTGACGCAGCAGCCACGTGTTGGGTGTAGCGAAAGGAGCAGAGAAAGTAACAACTGCGGAGGCCCCCAGCAGACCTGAGGAGGCCCCTGAGGACCCGCAGCAGCACGGCGCAGCAATGCATATCAACCCCACAGCCGCAGGTAGCTGTACGTACACCCCGTGCTGCTGCTGACTCTTGGGCCCCTCCCCCAGCGCACCGCCAACGCCCCGTTCCGTTGCTGCAGCAGCCGCATACACCCGAAGCAGCGGGAGCCGCCCCAGGGAGTACCTGCTGCTGCTGCTGCTGCTGTTCAGGCGGCAAGTCACCGCAGCAACGAACTGCAGCAGAACAAACGTGAGAAAGGTGCAGCAGGAAATACCCCTTGGGGGCGACAGCACTTGCTGCGTCTGTCTGCAGCACATGTACAGGCAGCTCCGCTTCTGTAGGGCTGCTGCTGCTGCTGTTGCTGCTGCTGTTCGAACTGCCGGAATCCGCAGCCGCAGCAGCAGCAGCAGTTGCTGCTGCTGCAGCTGCTCCACCGCAGGCTGCATGCGCTACAACAACACCCATTCTAAAGCCAGGGCCCCCCAGCACGGGCTCTGTACAAATTGCAAGCAGCCGGCAGCACGACGGGGTCACAGCAGTCCCCTTGTTGCCTTTTGTTGCTGTTCCTGCATCTGCTGCTGCTGCTTCTGTTGCTTCTGCTGCCGTTGCTGCTGCGGGTGCTTCTGGAGACGTTGCTGATGTTGCGGCTGCTGGAGCTCGCGCGTCTTCTTTGGCTGCACTTTCACTAGCTCGCGATGCTTCTGCATTCGTCTTTTTAACAGCAGATGCTGCTTGTGCTGCTGTTTCTGCTGTCGGCAGTACTTCTGCTGCTGCAGCACTCATCCCGCCTATTTCCATGTCAGCTGTGTTATTGCCGTCCTGCGTCGACTCCTGCCGCTGCTGCAGATGCTGGTGTTGCTGCTGCCGTTGCTGCTCCTCCGGTTGCTGCTGTTGCTGCTGCCGTTGCTGCTCCTCCTGCTTCTGTTGTTGCTGCTGGTGCTTCTGCTTGGTGGGAGAGAATGCATGGTAGAAGGCCTGCGCCTGTCTCCTCAGAATGAGGGGCTCTGTGTTGGGGGCCGGGATAGACCCCCCCTCAAAGAGCAGCAGCTTTGTAAGGACTCGTTCGCCGTTGCTGCAGTGCAACACTACACTGCTGCTGCTGCGCTGCAGCCTCGCAGACAGCTCTTCTGCGGCCTCCTCCTCATCAGCCGCTCCTCGTTGGTTCGCTTGCTGCTGCTGCTCTTCCTGCTCTCCCTGCTGCTGCTCCTGCTGCTGCTGTTCTTGCTGCTGCTGCTGCTGTGGGGGAGGCGCAACAAACTGCAGCCTCTCCACCGCTGCCCCCAGCATGCAGAGGGCCCCGCTGAGAGCTGCCGTACGAACGAAGGCCTGGGGAAGGTCCCCTGAGCCGTACAGAGGGTACAGCAGCGGGGCCCCCTGGCAACCAAACAACCCACACCCAGTCACAAATAACTGCAGGCGACTCCGCCCCTCTGCAACACTCCACCGACGAACATGATTGCCCTTGCATCTTCTTGCTGCTGCTACTGCTGCGCCTGCTGGTGCTTCTTCGGGAAGCAGGGGCTCTTCACAAAGACAAACGCCGTACGTCACTAGCCGACGTAGGTGGGCGTTCAGCCCCTGCTGCTCAAGGTAGCAATCCCAGCAGTCCCCTGCTTCCTCTTTGACGGCGGTTGCATCTGCTGTTGTTGCACCTGCAACTGCTGCATCCCCGGTTGCTGCTGCAGGTGCTGCTGCTGCAGCAGGGGCCCCCTGGGGCCTCCAGTTGGCTGCAGAGGCGAAGGGGGCGCTAACGGTGGTGGGTGGGGGGGCCCCCGCAGCAGCAACAAAACGCATAAGAGCTCGCTTCTCTGTTAGAGACAAAGAAGAAGACTGAAATATCTGGCTCTTGCTCATCGGTGTTGCCTCCAGTACAATCTTCTCACCTGCAGGAGATACCCCAAGGGCCTCTCTTGGCGGGCCCCCTTCAGTCCCCCACGCTTGGCGATGGGGGGAACCCCCCTCAAAGGGGGCCCTTGAGCCAGAGTCCGCAGCAGCAGATTCGGCCCCAGAAATCAAGGCATCCAAGCCGACAACTACTGACGGAGCAGCAGCAGCAGCAGCAGCAATGCCAGCATGTCCGCCATCATGCTGCTGCTGGTGCTGCTGCTGTTGCTGTTCTTGCTGCTGCTCACCTCCTCCCTGATTCTGCTGCGGAGAGGTAAGCGTAGGTGCAGCTGCTCCGCCATCTTCTTGCGGCTGTTGCTGCTGCAGTTGCTCCAGCTCTGCTGTCAGTACGGCTGCATCGCAGGTCCTGAACTCTAAGTACTTCGCTGTTCCGCTCTCCAGCAGCACATCGATGATATCGCTTGAGGTGTATATACACTTGGGCATCAGGTCTATAAGGAAGCGGGAGCCCTCAGCCATCAGCTCATGCTTCATCTGCAGTCGCTGTGCCTCTACACTCCCAGGGGGCTCACCTGCTGCTGCTGCTGCATCTGCATCTGCTGCTGCTGCTGCTGCTGTCGCTGCCTGAGCTGCAGCCGTTGCAGCTTCCGCAGCCGCAACCTCCACAGCTTCTGCCAGACCCGCATCTGTTGTTGCTGATGCTCCTGCTGCTGCTCCTTCCCCCGCTGACTCACTGGGTGCAGCAGCAGCAGCTGCTGCTGCTGCTGCACCCAGTGGGTCAGCAGGAGAAGCCAGCGGGGGGCTATTTTGGTCACCCCCCAGCTCAGAGAGCGGCGTCTCCGCCGGCCTCCGATTGTGGAGAGCAGCAGTTAGTGGGTCGCGGTGAGCGCCGGAGGTCTGCCCCAGCAGGAACGGCTGTTGATGCTGCTGCTGCTGCAAACTGTCGGCAACCGGCGAGTCCCCACAGGGTCGCTGAAGCGAAGGTGCGGGGCTGACGACGGGCCCTGCTCCCCAGTGCCCCACAGCGACCGCAGCAGCTGCAGCAGCTCCACCTACGGCAGCAGGTGCAGCAGCATTAGGAGGTGTGGTTGGCTGCATAAGGGGGATGGGCCTTGCTGTGACTCTGTTCGTCCGCGATGTCTGCAGCGTATCAGTGGTGCTGCTGGTGGTTGCAGTGTACGTTGTCTCTGCTGTTGCATCAGTAGAAGCAGAATCTGTGCTGCTAGCATCTGTCTCCGTTTCCTCTTCGCTGTCTCCTCCCTCATCCTCCAGGGCCTCCTCAACCTGGGGGGCCCCAGAAGGCTCGAGGAAGGGTCCAAACGAATACCAGCGCCTTTCAAACCCATCACCAACCGGGGACCCCTTACCCACAAGCCCATCACCCGAACCTAAAGGGGGCCCCCATGGGCCCCCTCCGGGGCCGTTCCCAGGCGACCCCTTGCCTCCAGGGACCACCCCAGAGGCCCCCCCAGGGGCCCCATCAGAGGACCCAGTAGGGACACCCCTCCCCCTTGGGGCATCGCTAGTAGCCCCAACACCCTGGGGGCCCCCGCGGAGACGCCCCCTTTCTGTGGAGACACCGCTGTGGCTGGTGGCCGCCAGGAGGCGAGCGAGCCCTAAAGCGCTCGCTACGGGAGCTGGGCTGTCACTCTGCTGCGGCTGCTGCTGCTGAAGTTGGGGGTCTCTAGGCTCTCCATGAGCATAGGGGGGCCCTTCGGGGCCCCCATCCCCGCCTGGCCCCTCCTCATGCGCCTTAGCAGCCTGCTCGCCCCTGGGGGGCCCACCACCCCTAGGGGCCCCTCTTGGACTTTCTGAGGGCCCTCTCTCTGCGTCGGTGTCATGACAGCAGCAAGGGCACGGGGGCAGTCCCTTCTTGAGGGATCGTCTCCGTTCTTCCTCGTCGGGGCCCCATGGAGGCCAACCTGGAGGTCCTGATGCGCCCCCCTCCGGGCCAAAGGCCCCCCTATGGGGGCCTCCCTCCGCCCAGTGCAGGAGCTCGTCTAGGCGCATGCTCCGGTGGGGGCCCCCATATGTCATTGACGGTTCACAGAGGAGACAGAGGAGGCCCCTGCGGCTGAGAGCAGCGAGGATGAGAGTGCTGGTGATGCTGGAGCCAAAGACAGCAACATCAACACAGACAGAACCCCCGCCAAAGGGGGGAGGTACACGGACACAAGGACGCAGCAGCTGATGAGATGATGGTAACTGCTGCTCCTGTTCTTGCTGCTGATGCTGCTGCTGCTGTTGCTGCTGTTGCTGCTGTTGCTGCTCCTCACTGGACGGTGCTTGGTAGTCCTGTTGATGCTGCTCATGACCCTGCTGCTGCTGCACCTTCTGTTGTTGCTGCCCTTCTTGCTGTTGCTCTGCACGCTCCTCCACGCGCTTCTGCGTACCCGAATCATCCTCAATGTGCGGAGTATGATGGTTTTGTGCATGAGGCTCTTGCTGCTGCTGCTGCTGTTGACGGTGCTGGTGCTGCTGCTGTTCTTGCAAATGTGTGCTGCTTGAGACTATAGGGCTGACGCTGCGGGGCCCACCTGCATCTAGTTGTTCCTTCTGCTGTTGTTGCTGCAGCTGCTGTACTTTGTGGGGCGTCTGTTGCAGCTCGTGCTGCTGCTGCTGTTGCTGCTGCTGCTGTTGCTGCTGCTGCTGCTGCTGCTCCTGCAGCTCCGGTAGCTGCGGCGACATGGCCGCATGGGGCCTTCGCCGCCCCTACCGTTGCTGGCGTCAGCAGCTGTGTTGAGTCTTCCGAAACAGACAGTTCGGTGGGGAGCCACTCATGCTGCTGATCTGCTTGTTATTGATATGGTTGGGACAGTAGCTCCTGTGCCTGCTGCTGCTGCTGTTGTTGTTGCTGGGGTTGCTGTTGTTGCTGCTGCTGCTGCTGTTTCTGCTGCTTTAAGTGAAGTCCAGCGTACAGATAGGGAGCAGTTGTGACGGCTGCTGGCGCCGGGACGTCACAACAACGTCTGTGCTGCTGCTGATGTCAGCAGCAAGACTCTCAGTAGACAACTGCTGCTGCAGCCCCCCTGTGCAGCACGGGAGGGAAACAGCAGCAAGAGCAACACGGCTAGCAGAGATACAGCATGCCTTCAGAACGTGGCCTAACTAGGCGGCGTCGAGCCGTGCTCACACAGCGTGTGTTGCTGCTGCCGCTGCTCTGCTTGCTGCTACCGCTGCTGCTGCAAGGGGCGAGAGGCGGCCGTGCTCTTGGGCATGTGTCTATCCTTCTTTGTTTTAAATCCCCTCTTATATAGACATATATATGCATAAGGCTTCACAATGACCAAAAGACAAACGCAACAAGCACAACAAGAGGCCCCTCGCTCATGAGTACGGCGACAGTGGGGCCGCCTACTCAGCTGACACCCCGGCGTGTCTGCATGCATTTGTCCCTTTTCTGTTGCAAATCAATGCTTTTTTACTTTTTATATGCCAATAAATACTATATTCCACAGTCAAAATACCTTATATATGGCTAGTCATGCACGCAATAACGGCAGCAGTAGCAACTACAGCAACAACCACTCCAGCAGCGGCAGCAGCAACTGCAGCAGACACGGACACTCTTTGAGTTGCTCGTTGTAGTCTTGTTGTAGTGCCTTATCCTCGTTGCTACATTTGCACAACTTCGATTTTTTGTGACTTTGTCTGTACACCGCAAGGTCCTGGGGCTCTACATCCACCCAAACGCCGCGTAGGAGATACTCGTAGACAGCAAGGTCTTCATTCTTAACTATTATTATTATAATCATTATTCCCAGTGTTCAAAATAATCTGTTCTAAGTCATCACAGGAATATTAGTAGGCTGTCGGATGCTCGGCAAGTGTCTACAGAGGTAATAGGTGAAGGCATACATATGGATTTGTCTTATATCATTAGTTCCTGCGAGCGGCGCTGCAGCTCCGCTCAGGCTGCCTCCTCTCCTGCAGTCCCAGGCCCTGAGCTGCTGCGTTGAGGCCACCTGAAGACAGGGGAGGGAAGGTAGTTGGCCGCAGGGGGTCCTCACTGTATGTCGTTGGTTCGCTGCAGCTCGCGATTGTCTTAGGATAAATAATAGAGGGCTATCCGTGCACTCTGAATCTCAGAGTCTCCTCACGGTGTCTTTGGGGTGGCCAGGCGTCCTGGGCGTTGAGCTCAGGGCCGGGGTGCTGTGGAGTGGATGCAGGCTGAAGTGGGTTTGCATTGCAGCTCGCTGCAGCTGGTGATACCAACCGACTTCACGCGGGCGCAAAGGGAAGCTTCAACGAAGCTTCCTTTACTTCATGCTCTACCTCTGAATACACTTGTGGAGCGTTCATATTAGCTTGCATGTAGCCTACCGAGGCCAAGTTAAGGCTCCTGTGTTATCGGTAGGCGGCCTACGCTACATGACGCTACGCTAGCTGCAGTTAGACATCTAGACATATATATATATATATATATATATATATATATATATATATATATATATATATATATATATATATATATATGCACGCATATATGCGTGGAACTCTTCATATAGTGCTGATGCAGTTACGCTCCTTTTTGTCTCCAACGTTGTGTAGTTCGCATACAACAGCAGCAGCAGCTGCTGCTGGTGCAGCTCGTACCAGAGTATCCGGCAGCATTTTGCAACGCTGCGCTGTGTCTCTGGTCCCTGGATGTGGATGAGACAAACAATGCAACCCTTCAGCGGATAGGTGTGAGGTGTCCCCCTCTGCAGTGCCTCCTCATCGCCGACGTCAGCATGCAGCTGCTGCGCGCCTCTCTGTGTTGTGGGATGCATGGCCCCATTCTTTTCTTTGGCTGCTGCTGCTGTGTATATACAACCGTCTGCTTCCGAAGCATCAGCGCCGCGCGAGCAACACAACTGTCTCTACTGAGTCTGCGCAGGTGCTGCGGCGGCTGCGGCTGCTGCAGCTGCTGATTTCTGCAGTATCTTTAGGCGAACCTGCACGCATGTAGAGGACAGAAGGTGCGGCCCCACAGACAGCTCTAGTTGGGGATCGATCGTGTAACGCTGGTTCTCCGGCCTTAACCTGACCGGAGACGAGCCGCAATGAAGGCAAAGACTTAAAGT